TTCAGAATTTTTTGTCACATCTTTGCACGGGAAGTGCTGAATAAAACAGAGAAACCATAAAACCAAAACACCTGTTTTTATCAAATCACTGACAGTATTAAACATCTGTTGTTTTGATCAAATCAATAGATATTTTAGTCACTCATATCACATACCTTCCATAATTAAATAATATGCATCACGTAGCACTGTTATTGTGGTAAATAATACTAGTATAGAGAAGATAAATGTACAGATAGGATCAGCTATCTTGTATTCTGGCTGAAATAGAAAACAAAACGTACATGTATTATCATTACTATCAGAGGTACACGTGTACATATGTACCACTGAACCTCTGTCTGAAAGTCTGCATGCATGTGTCACAAGCTATATGTAATAGAAATTAAATTTTAATATAAGTGTACAAAATGCAACAAGGGGATAGAACATTCAGTTCGTATTCTAAGGGGTGTCTCAGAGGTGTAAATAAAATTTTAAAAAATCAATTAAATAATTAAAGAAAACTAGTTTCCCTTTAAAAATTATATTAATCCAATTTGAGCACAGTTTAAGGTTCACTCCATGCACTTACCTTATACCTAATAATATAAGCTGCAATGAGCACTCCTACACTTTGTATTAGATCTCCAAGGATATGAATAAACGCTGCTCGGATCACAAGGTTTTTCTTTGATTTTTTCTGCTGACCATGACCATCATAATCACCATGACTATGACCACCTCCATGACTATGACCATGACCACCTCCATGACTATGACCATGACCACCTCCATGACTATGACCATGACCAAATGATATATTGAATTTGCATGCAAAAGACTCTGAATGTAGCACCAGTCCCATGCTGCAACAGAAAAAATACGATCATTGAATCTTGATGATCAAAATGCAAAGGCTTCATATCTATTCTGTTTTAAGCTGACATGGGTAAATGTGACATAACCAAGAGGAAAACACTGGATAAGTTCAAATCAATAATCAAAATGTCATTACCCTTAAATACAAACCCCCAACAAAGTCTAAAGACACATGTATATAAAATAAAATAAATGTGGACTAAAATTTAAGCAAACATCATGCAAGGTCAAAACATCCCAGAAATAAAACACTCACTCAGCTTCACTTACATCATATTAAAAGCTACCCCACAGCCAGCAGTGATGATCATGTCATCTCCCATGATTTCATAGTGGTTGTGCATCACCCTGTCCACAGCCAAGTACAGCAGCACTCCTGTAGCCACCCAGATCAGTAACACACTCACTAGAGCACCAACTACCTCTGAAATTTTATTTTAAAAAATTCTTAACTAGTAAGCATTATGATGAGAAGTAAATACTGCCTGCAAGAGAAAATGTTTGGTGATAATTTAATGCTTTAGGCATAACAGAATATTCAAACCTATTTAGTTCATTTATTAAATTTGAGTTAAATTTGAAGATGCAAATTAAGAGGCATTTTAAAAAGCAATGTTGACTCAAAGTTGAAGAACAAGACAAATATGTACATAATGTTAAGCTCATAGCAGGAGTGGCACGGCTGTGCCTCGAGGCGTTAGGGTGGGGGAGCCGGGCTGTCTAAAAAGAACTGCCTTTTGGTCAGAAAAGGTCCACTCTGAATCAAAATTTGCTCGAAGTTCCATCCCATTTCTCAAGTAGGGTCAACTACATACGGGGTGAAAAGGTCCACTTTTTCAGAAAAAAAAAAGGGAACGACTCCATTGAAATTGCAGGCTACAGGCCTGTACCTTGAAGTTCTCAAGCTTTCAAGCCTCTCTAAAATAAGTTTTCCAGAATGTTATTTCATGTATTTCATTTCCACTTTAGTGGTGGTGGGGGTGGGGGAAGTGGGTGGGAGTTGGGGTAGGGTAATAATCTCCTTACCTGCCCTGTGGTAGCCAAATGTCATGCGAACTGTGGGGGCTTTTGTGGTAGCAAAAAGAGCAAATAAACTGATGATGAAACTTGCCAAATCGCTGGCTAAATGTGTTGCATCTGTGAGAAGTGCAAGACTGTTGGAGTAGATTCCACCTGAAATGTAAAGCACTTGTCACTGATTGAACCACAACAACAACAATAATAATAATAATAATAACAATAATGAAAAAATATTAAAAATGAGGGTATAATTCTAATTGGCTTTCAGATGACAAAACATTTACTGTCCTTCAATTCTGAGATACTTATAAAATAGGCTATCAACTAGCAAACCAACAAAGGCAAAAACATGACCTCCTTGGCCAAGGTAATGAAAGTGAAATTTGATAAATAAAGAATGCATAGTGACTCATATACTGTATGTGCTCTGTGTGTAAGTTTAAATGCACACAAAGGGAGGGGATGGGGTAAATTTGTGCATCACTACAGTGGTCAAGTGGAACAGATTTTGGGAGAGGTGAAACCTGGGGCAAGGTTAACCCTAAATCCTAAATCCTTCCTGCCTTCAATTTATTGTTCATATCTGTTTTAGGACACCCACTACTGATCATGGTTATTGTGATCAATTATGTCCACGACCCCATCCATAACTGTGTGTGTAGATCTAAGCAAATGTTTCCGGGAGAGGTACTAAACTTTCTTAAGTAAACATAAGTACACACCTACAATTTCTCCTATCATGAACATGCCACTCAAAACACAAACAACAATGAGCTGTTTTCTAGCAGTTGATAAGTTTTTCTGGTCAGTCCTGGGTAGATGACAGTGGTCTACGTTCCCCAGCTCTGTCTCACTTGACTCACAACCCTGCACTCTGGAGGAAGTTCGCTCACTCTTTGGGATGAGTAGCTGGTCGTCCGACGACGAAGACTCGTCAGCTGAGCCATAACTTTGCGCCTCCTGATTTCTGATCGCGCTTCGAAGATTATTCCTTTCGAAGCTTGGTTTGAAAGAATTTTCAAATTGGGGCGATTCCATACTGTCGTCTTCTTCTGTAGCGCTTCGCGGGACGAACCTCGACGGAAATTTTCCTTCATTTCCCCCTACATGCGTCCCTCCTTCCGCGTCCATATTTACAACTCTTTATCAGGATTAGGATTGGCAACAGAGAACAGGCAAGAATGGTGCGGTCCCCATTGAGCCTTGTTCAACTCTGGGGGTCATTTAAACCATAACATCGTTTCACCGACCATCAAACAACATTCTTGTTTGAAACTAATATAAATGACCAGATTAAATATTACTTATATGTCTGAACTCGATGAGGGGGTGAGTGACCCTGACTGACCCGTGTCTATATACATGTATAGCACTGCCTGGATCCCGGAGATGTGCCATGTCAGGCTACGAGAGGGCCGCTATATGTCGCTTCAGACCAAAATCTGAGTGTTCTTTTATGTCAGAAAAGGCAGGAAAATTCAGATGAAAAATGCTTATACCTTGTAATAGGTATGATACTATTGCGTATTTACTTTGATACTTGTGCGAATTGTCAACGCTTAGGCCCTATTTTAATGTTTTTTTAATTGAATAACATATGGCTGTAATACTACAAAAACACCAGTTGGATTTAGTAGTGGGTTGTTTTTTATAAGGTCTGCGCTCTTGGAGTGCTTATCTAGTTCAAATTTAGAGTATGCTCCCCCTATAATCCTGTCTTTCACTGTGGCTTCCACAGAGGTAAAGAAATGTCTGTTAAATTAAAAGATACCGCCAAATATCACCAAATTTACACATAATTAGCATAATGGTGTGCTCATTTAAGGTTACGTGTCTAACAGCGTGTGTCCACCGTGTACTGTAATTACCTCTTGTAGGCGGCGCGACAAGCCTTCACCAAGGGTAACAACACTATTTAGTGAGATATTGTCCCATTATTCTTAAAGGATTTGGCGGTGTTGATCCAGATTATATAGGGATTGGTTCTCTTTTGCACTGAATACTCTAATTTTCGCCGGTATTTTGTATTTTCTGAACAATTTATCATGTAAGTTATAGTATCTGTAATAAAAAGCATCGTTTAGAACTGTTTACACCGATGACGTGATAATTTGTAAATACTGTAAGAGTACATGGAATTGGGGTAGGACAACCTTTTTGACCAATGTTATATTACACCACTGTCCTTATTTCTCTCTATATATAGTTCATTCCCAAATTGTTCCCCGAAAAACTGAAATGTAATGGACAATTGTATTAATTCTCCCCCACAAAATTTGTGTAGTACTGTCAGGGAAATATAGTGCCGATTATTATATTACGTTTGTTTCTCAGTCTTTTCTGCCACCCTTTTCACCCCTTTGACATATACCTGTATATATCTAGTGGATAACATGTGCGTAATTTAGTGTGTGGCCTTAAAGTCAGGATGGCCGCGCGCAATTTGCCATAATCTTCTGGATTACAGAGGAACTTACAGCTAGTCTTACGCCACTGTCTTTTACATCAAAACATGCTTTTTTTTTTTTAAAGATTCCTTCTTTCCTCAACTGACAAACCGTGGCTTTGCATCCGCGAACCCCCCTTCAAATAATCCTGGATCCGCCCCTGAGAAAGATAACAAAGACCTACTACATGTACTGGTGCACACCATGTGGGAAATGTATCGGATGGACGAGATAAAAAACCAAACTGTATTTGTATTTTGAGCCTTAAATATTTCCATTAGTCTTGATTCACCAGCAGCTGGGTGGTGGGGGCAGTTAAGCAGTTGAAACTGACTCTCAAAACTGCAGGAACGTGATACTGTTTAATTTCGTTTAATTTCTATACCACATACTTTTTATATGTACCATTCAGACCATTCAACAGCCAGCAAATATTTCAAATATAAAGCAACATCGCGATTCTTTTGTAGTCAGTGTTATTGTGGTCCAGTGTACATGTAGTGATATTCGCATGTCTTACTTACTACTGGGTTACATATGAGCGAAGGGCGTTATCTAGGAAGTCCATGGTTCAGGGTACGTGTAGTTACGTAATACGTCGCATACCATAGGCTTGTAGATCTACACATGTAGTTCTAAGTGCGTGTGTAAGAAACGCGCGTTTCTTAATTCTCTACCTGTTTGTATTTACGCGCGGTGCGTTGAATGAGTGTACATGTGTTGGGTGCCGTTGTTTATCTTATCAACTAGTCGCTGGTGATTTATTTGGGTCCTGGGACCCCCATGTTATCAATGCAAACGTTCAGACTGAAAGCAAGATGTCTTCCGCTAAATGGTGCAGTGTATTAATATGCACTTGCCTTGCTTTCGTTTTCCTCTCACTGTGTCTCGTGTCCCAACCTACAGCGGCGAGTGCAGGGACTAACCGTCATATCAGGGAGATTTTTATCGGACAATGCTGGTACTACACGGAGTATATCGGTCAAAGTTTAAGCGAGAACGTGTAAGTGCGGATACATGCGTGTTGCTATTTCAGATCTACCGCCAACAGAATGCTGGTGTCAGACTTATAAAAGCTTACTGAATGAAGGTTTGGAGATATACGTTTACTGGTTGTTCATCCGTGTACGTCAGTGTCTGCACTGTATCTGTAGTCTGATCTTGGTTATCCATGTGGTATCTTGAGCCCTTATGACAACGGGATGGCGACCGCTTGATCAAAGAATTCTGGCTAACCCCCACCAAGAAGTTGTAAAGAGATCTTTACAACTTCTTGCCCCCACAAAGGAAAATACTGTTCTATTCATGGTTTATTTAACATTGATGAAGTGATATGACTTTGATTGCCGATATAAACAAAATCCCAATTCTATTGGGGACGAGAGTGGGGAGAATCAGTTCAACAAGCGGTCGCGAGTGTAACAGGTGCATTATAGCTTTTAGGAGAGGTCACTGCTCGTTTTCCGCAAATCAATTTTCAATTATCCGAATTACATATTGGAATAAAACTCACGGGTTAAGAGTATTATTATTTTAATTAATAGTCAGAAGAACTGCACAGATCTTTGGGAGAAATTTTCTCATGCCTGGATGTACAAAGACCCGTGTAACGTCACAGTGGCGGACTATGAACCGTTTGTTAATGCAGCCACTGTTCCAGGAGAGGTCCCTACAAATAAGGTAGGTGTTAGTGTTTGTTAAAACAACCACTGAACCTGTAAAGGTTCTTACAAATAGGCCCCATTCAGAATAGATGATCCGGGTACTTACTGATCCGCCGACTAGATATGGTTCAACCACAGTTCAAAAGCGATGCCCAACTCCAAACGCGCCTTTAAACGGATTAAAGCTCTGCTCCGAGGTTTAATTGCTAGGCGGAGAGACCATCATGGAATTAGGGACGTTGCTTTTGAACTTTGGTCGGCAATATTTGGTCGGTGGATCGGTAAGTACTAGGATCATCCATTCTAATGTCATGTCAAAAAAGGAATACTCTTCAGCACTTCATTGTCTTTGTATCACAATAAGCGAATTGCACATTCAACTGATTTGTTTATTAGCCAATCATAACGCGAAACGTCATAAAACGGTACCTATAAACGCTATATTTTCGTATCCACCTTGTTTTTTTCTCTGTAGGCGGTATTTTGGGAGGCCGCGTACACCCTAGCACACGATTATAGCGGCAGACGGCGCCGGTACGTGGCTTCTGCTGACATCCTGACTGGCTACCTGGGTAATCACGTGTTCTCCTGGTGTGGTCAGGAGGAGGAGCCAGGCATCAACTATGACCACTGTCCACTGGAAGAGGACTGTCCCATGTTCCAGGGCCAATATGGCGGAATGTGGACAGCCGTGTCGAAAGCAGTGAGAGCATTTGGTTTCAGCTACAGAAAAACAAGTCTTTTCTTTTAATCTCTAATTTTGGACCCATTAACCTCTAATCTAGGATCCAGTATACTGGGCCCAGGCTCTAATTGACTGTGAATGTCGACAGGGAATTTTAATGAAAGGAGATGCAGTTTAAAATACGTATTTTTATTGCCATATATAACAGATTCTTCCTTTATCGATGTTTTGATAGGTAAAAATCTGAACACACCAACAAACATACCTTACCCTGACAAACTCCTTCGATGCCAAGATTAATTCTTATTCTGAAATTGCAATCGTATAATTCTGATCAGAAACCATTTAAAGATAAAGTTGCTCACAGTAGAAGTAACGTATATTTTAACCTATTATTTTTTTCATTGAGGACCATCTGTATATAGATTTCTCCTTATAATATTCTACGAATACTCTTTTCATTGAACTTTATTATGCTTTATTTATATAAAATGCTGCCACTTTAATAGACAATTGGAAACATTGAAATAAGATCATATGTTTATGGGGATTATTTGCATATTTTACCGAAAGTTTGCAGAGGTCTGTACTGGGGTAATTAAAATGATCCTCAATGGAACGACGGCTGGGACCAGTGTGGCCTTCAACGAAAGAAGGTACTACGATAAATTATCTCACTGGCACACGTGTAATCACATGGATTCAAAGCAGACATTTAAGGAAAATACTTCAGTAAATTTGTCTTTTAGTATTCTTTTTTTAGAAAACACGTTGGATGGTAAAAATTACAAGTTTCTATTTATTTCAATACTGATTAAAAGATATCCAAGGTTTCTACCAAAGGTTTCAATTGAAGTTGATAAACACTTGTCAACATGATAAGAAAGTATTATGAAACATGAAATTACTCTATTTTACAGCTATTTCAACCTTTTTGAACTTCCAAACCTTCCTAAGGCGAAAGTCACGCGATTCCAGCTCATGGTATTCCATGATGTTGGGAAAACGCACAAGTACGTACTGGTAAATCATTACTCAAATTTTCATTAAGAACGTTTTCAAAAATTAATCAAAGGGGGTATTACTGTGTTTTTATTTTTGCGTTATACATATTCAGCACAAAAAGCATGAAACGATTAACATTTTCAGGGAAACGTGCAATAATGGCAGCATTCCCCTCCTTAAAAAACGTTTAGAAGAACTTGGATTCGAATATGACTGCATCGATGACCCAAGGTAAAGTGAGCTTATTAAAACAATAAAGAAAAAGAAACGCTTTACAGGTCTTAAAGAGGTCGTTATTAAATTATGAAACGCAAGACAATCTTTTAGCGCCTTACGTTAACTCTATAAAAGATGTTTTTTTAATTTCCAGCGCACTAAAGCACATTTTGTGTTTGGATGACATCAATTCTGGAGAATGTCAGTTCGCCTCCAAGGTACTTCGGCCAACATCCGCTTCAAATACCACAGGAGCAGGCCTCCAGACCCTGGTGTTTGGAGGCATATTAATCCTGTCTGTGTCCTGTCTGTGGTTATTTTATAACCATTTACAGAATTAACTGAGCTGACATGTGATTAAGTGTAACGGATTAAAATCACGCAAAGCCAAATCCGATTTCATATTTAAATGCATACCAAAAACTAAAACGTTTTTTACCACTTATTACCCCCTTATAGTTTAATACTAAATCACAAGGCACTACTCACAATATCTGCACATAAATATAATTCAAAGCTGGAGTAGAGCTGTGAGAGAGCTGAAGCTAACACACAGTGTGTACAGACTAGATTTATCAGCTTGATCATAAGAAAAACCGATAATACAACAATACACAAAATTTGAGCCTTGGACGTCTTTAGTAAATACAAAGCCAAAATAATTGAATTTATCAAAGTGAACAAAAAATGAGATTTATGGAAAGATTGGATCATGCCCATTTTCGAACATGACCAGCACTTTCAGGCGATGAATAATCCCCGTAAGTTTGAATCCCTACAGCAACATTACTTCTCCGGAATGGCAGTAACAAGAAAGCGGCACAGTTCTGGTGACGTTTGAGTGACCGGAGTATGTACATACAGTTTACTCAACAAAATATAGGCCTATATATTTGTATACACAGCCAAGAGAGGATTTATCATAAAAACGTGTTGATCTTTTTTTTTTTCGAATTAATAAATTTAGTTTTATATGCATTTTTATCGATCAACTAAATATTTATTAAGAAGACCCGTTGAATAAATAAAGAGCGCCTTTACGTCACTAAAATATTTAACTGGAATCCGTATTAGAACAAGTAGGGTATGAATATTACCTTGAAATACAACAAGACTTTTTGTTGATGGATGGATCAACATCACACAATCATGTTATAGGCCTACAAAGAAAAGATTGAATCAAAACAGTAAATGGCCCTTTTATTGTCATCAAAGATGTTTACTCAGTTTCATTCAAAGAACGTTTCTCTTGAGATGGACCAACAACAAATTATTTCGTAACACAACATGAAAGAAAAATAGGACTGAAATTTTGAACATGAAAGAAATTTTCATAATCATCCTATAGTGCTGAGATGCGTTTGAAAATCAAGTTATTAAACAGTGCCATTGTCCAATAGACAGTGAGAATTTATTTGGTGTGACACAGTACAAAGTGCCGGGTTGGAAAGTTTGAAGACGACGGTTATCTAACCCTAGGATTTTCCGTATTTCGGATTTTTGCAGCCAAGTTAATTTCTTTTGAATCATGGGATGCGTATGGTCCCAATATTGAAGGATAAAGTCTGGTGTCACAAGGTACGAATGATTGCCTTTTCGTTTTGGTTCCCCCGGAATTTTGACGTTTGGACCTGGTTGCAGAGTTCCTGGACTTTGGCGCGAAGACGTTCCTTTCAAAACAGCCTCGATTAAGGGGTTGGCTTTGGCTGGACTGGCTTTAATTTCCGCCAGCAAAGCTGACAAGATGTAGTTCCGCGGTATTTCGTAATCAAAATAAGCCTTGTATCTTCCCGTCGAACGCGAAACAGTTGTGTTATACTATTTGTGACGTGCAGTGAGTTGCACTGAAGGCAATAACCATGATACAACATCGAAATCAACTGACGAGTCATCCAGGCACCATTAAACCACGATTCATAGTCTAGGTGCATATCATATGGTATGAGAAATGACAGCGTACCCCTGTGGAATGCGTTGAAACACTCATCAAAATCCCAGTTCAAGTTTACGGGTTGGTTTTTATTGACAAATTGTCTAACCATGTCTTGGTAACGCACGTAACCCACAGCAGGTTGGTAATACATAAGAAACTCCTCGAACCGCTGAAAAGGATTTGCAGCCATATTGGACCAAGGTTTCCAATTGACCTGTCCATCAGATCGGAGCGATAGGTCTAGGTCGTCGTCCATGAATATATAGTAGACATAACCGCCGTCTTTCATTTTGGCCGCTAAATTAACCGCGTGCTGAAGAAGCGCACTTCTACCGGAACCAGCCGATGTATTCGGGGCGTATATTTCTCCCGACCTATCTGCAAACGTCATCCAAATGACGTCGCGTTCTTTCGTTTCTTCTAAGCCTTCGATGATCCCCTTTGTTCGGCCCCCAATGAGATACACAAATCGCACAACTGCGTACCTAAGCTCCAATGTGAACTCTACGGACTCTGGCAAGTCATCGTACTCGGTACCAATCCTAGGAGGCGCTCTTAACGGGTTTTGTTGACTGGCTTCCTTGACACCGATGAAGTTCACTAAAGAAGACTTACGCGTACTATGATTTATCCACAGAATCCGCAACATAGAACCAATCAAGAGGGTTGACAGGGCTACATATCTGACACTCTTAGAAGTCCACATAGTGGTTGAATATCGGTGCATCATGTCAGAACTCTAAAATCTGTCACCAAAATAATATGAAAGCAAAATACTCTTAGCTTTCTTCGGACGTTCAAATAATTATGAATACCCGTCTACTCTTTCTGAGCACTGTAAATACACGTGTATTCTAACTATTGAAGCAAGTGAGCCCAATTACATGTAGGCACAATAAAATAATAGCTTAAATTGCCTTACCTCTGACCCCGACTCACTTATCATTGTTCTTGGAGATTTTAATACGGCCAACATGAAAAGTCATTTCCTACCGTCAATTTATCAAATTTTGACTAGAGGCAAAAATACATTGCATCACTGTATTGTGCTATTAAGGGGGCGTACAAAGCACTGAAACGATCGCCCTTTGAAAACACTGATCACTGTTCAGTTTTACTAATGCCAACTTACAAGCAAACTTTCAAAGAAACTAAACCAAAATAAAAACAATGAAGGTTTTCAAGCAACGTGAATAACATTTAACAATAACGGGATATTTTCAAAAATTACACGGACATATATAACCTCACTGTAGCAGTAACAAGCTACCGGTACATTACTTTTGTGCAGAAATATGTTTACCCACAAAATAAGTAAAACAGTACAGTGCAATAAGAAAATACGCAAGCTCATTAAAGAGAAAGACATAACTTATGGTGAGAAAGATCAACACCATGACCAAAAGCCGGCCAAATGCCACCATATAGTTTCGAATAATATAACTTTGAGGAATAACAAAAGATATCGTTTCATCAGTGGCGGATTTGGAGGGGGGTGGGGGTCAGGGGGGTGCTGACCCCCCCTTCGGTTTCTGAAAAATTTGAGAAATATATTCCCTCTTGAAATTAGAATTTTGACTAGCTGAAACATATAGTTCAAAACCGTACCAAAGGGCACCGTTTTCCCTCCAAAACCCCAAATAAAATTTCGGGGCCCTTAAGCAGGCCCCGAACCCCACGCCAAGGGAGCGATGGTCGGCTTCGAATCCAAGGCCTATCGTTCTGGACCCCCTCTTCAAATAATCCTGGATCCGCCCTTGTAAGACTTCTAAGGAAAATTGCTGGCAGGGTTTTGGAGTACTAAATGGTGTTATTAAATCGGCGTTGAAACGGTGATCGTAGGTACTCAGGCAGTGGTGTAAGTTGAGACACCGCTTTTTCAGTTTTTACCCCATAATTGCAATTACGACGTCACCCGGAAGATGACATATGTGCAAATGTTAACTAATTTAGTCAATGAACAGTGGAGGTTTATCTATTACCCAAGGGAATGCATGTAAGGCAGTAAATAAGAAGTTTTGGGCGAAGGGTGACAATATCCTTAATGGAGAGAATGTTGTTTATCGGTTATCTGCAGCATGTCATATTAATAATCTATGGGGAAAATCAATAGAAATGGACATGATTAGTACGTAAAGCTAGAATTATATGTGGTTATAAATTTCCAGCATGAAAAATGAATAATAAAGTGCTATTAAAGTTGACATAGGGATACACTGTACTATCCGCAGCCGTCCAAGCAGCCTCTCAGAATTTATAGCATTGGCTTAAATGAAGCTATAATAGGCACATAGAATCTTTCATTCAATTCATTTTGAGCGTTTGTTCATCCCGAGCACACCAATTGTTCGTTTGTAGAATTTCACTTGACGCTGAATTACCATACGGTCTATACACGAGATGCTTTGTTTGAAAGCAATGTTGATCGCTTTATGTTTACCAAGAGGTATGTATGTATGTATGTATGTATGTATGTATGTATTAGTATACTAAGAAAGTACAGATGGAAGTTACGACTATATTACGACTAGTTATTATTATTATTATTATATGTTAGGCCTATTTATGATTCAATGATTGATGTGACGGGTATCAACTAGTTTATTCAATTACTAATCAATAAAAAGACAGTTAACAGTTTACTTCTTTCTGATTTCAGGTCACTGTCATTTGAAGACAGTAATACAACCAAATATATTAAAACTATTTTGCTTCTATTTCCAGTTTTGACCATAAAATTTACTTCGAAATCCGATTATTATGACATTGGAATAGCGGATTTAACCGGTGTAACTTCGTTTACATTCGACGTGAAAACATGTGAGGCGATTGCACTTTATCTGTGTGGCGTCAACATCTATTTCGAATGTGTGCTAACATACTCGTGGATACTTCGCAATGATGTCACTGACCTATACATTGGCTATCCCAGTGACCCGATATCACAAAACACGCCAAATATTCTTGACTGCGGATCATTTAGGGCGTTTTGGATTAGTTGGGATAAAGGTTACATCCAGTTAGGAGCTGGTCGAGATATCGGAAAGGAAACAATCCTGATGCACAGCATAGACCATACTGCCACAAGTGACGTAAAAGTTTTAGAAGTGAGAGCAGGAGTAAATGGGTCCGCAGAATGGGATATCACCCCGTCAAATCGTGAGTAAATAAACAAAGTGGTATCTTTAATTAGCGGTGCGACACAACATGTTTCAGTCGTCTTTATGCCTGTACCATCAATACTCCTTATAGATTGTTTAAAAACATAGAAAACTTGACATTTAATGTGCATTATTTTTCCAAATCATTTTCTTCTATTTTTTCCTATTTGTCTGACAAATGAAAACTAGGTTAGTGTCAAGTTATCTCTGAAGCTCAGGGTGGGATTTTCATGTTTGTAAAATAAGTTCCCTCTTACAATTGGTAAGCAGTCGGTTTCCAAAATATTCCTGAATTTGACATGGTTCAGGTTTTCATCGATGACTACATGTACCTCAGGTGTTTTTGGCTCCAACGTGAATTCCACTCCAATTGCTGATCCTGTCACCGCCCCCAGTCACTCAAGAAGTTTCGCTTCGTCGTAGGCCCCTTCAGGATGTTTGTGTTCATTAATTTAATTTAATCACCTTGGCTGTACAGATGAAACTTGGCCTTAAAAGTGAAAGAAAAATGGTTTCAGTGTTGTGCCCGGAAATTCTGATGGCTCCAAACTTAAAGGTCAAATAGACGACAATGTTTTGTTCACAGTGGTTTCCACAGTGGTCTTCTGATAAAGTGACCTACTAAAACTAGTCTAGCCTTTGCAAAAGGGCCTTGAAAAACGTTTTCTTGAGGCAAATATGAGGCAAAAAGAGAGGATAATGACTTTAAAAAATTGATTTACAATCTTGCAAGCATTTCACACGTCGAATTATTTTGCAGTTATTTCTTATAAAATGATATGATTATGAAATGTTCGTTGATTAAATGTTGAAACTGTTGTTAAGTATATAGTTTCTTTATAATTACGTGAAATATTTTTGCCTTTTACCCGTCAAATCCGCACGTAGTCTAGATACAGAAGCATGAGCTGACGTTTTCGTAATTATGACAGAATTGACATTTACTGGTGTCTCTGATATTTTGGGGTTACTCAAATATCACAATATCAACCTACACACCGCACATCTGTGTACAACAACATCAAATAGGTTGAGGACAACCTTCTGGAAGCATAATACTTTATATGTTTCAAATGTTTCAGAGACACGGAGAAAAGCATTCTTTCGCAAGCATCCATTTTGTGACCCTATAGCTGAAATATTGGCCAATCTGACCACACACGACAAGGAACACTGCGCTCATGAGTGTCTGAGCAATCTTCGTTGTAACTCATTCAACATTGACCAGAGCCCGGAAGAAGGCACTGGTCTTTACCGATGTCAGCTGAAAGCAACCTATTTAGGTGTTCCCCATCCCCAAGCGAGTGCACTCCCTGTCGATCGCTGGGAGATGATATACAACTAACTATAGCAAGACCGACTTGAAGACGTCACTATATGACGTCATATTGCCACAGGGGACTGGCGTCACATACCCAAAACAAGCTGATTCAACCCAAAGGCAGATCTAGTTCGATTAATACACATCTGTCAACGCTAACAAATCTTCGTCTTCTTGCATTATACTTTGGGCGAATGGAATGGATAATATGTTATTTACAGCGTACCCATAAGAATCCATCATATATCAAGTATTGAACACAGTTGATTTGATTAATTTCTTGCTTGATAGACTGAAGATGAATTTATGAAGACTTAGTATGGATATAGAACTTGTGGAAGTCAGAATCCGGAACTGTCGACAACATGGCTCTAATTAAAATATATTCTAATGATAAACCACAACATGTATACCAGATCCTGGTGGCACGGTTATAGTATTTAATAAATAGCATCTAGCCCACCCCACGATCCTATACCAATTATATTCGACATTGTTGTGAAATATGATTGAAACGCCACTCACTGGATCTGTTACTTGTAAACATAACGGATTTGCCATTATGAATAATTATTTTATTGTCAGAAAAATGTGTATTGTTTTCTTGTAACTGCTTATGTACGTGTGTCAAGAAGATGATCGAACATTGCCAGTGTGTTGTATTGCATTACACCATCTGGAAAGTTGCTAATATGTCCTTTTATTTCAAACAATGTATTATACCGGTACGTGTATATAAATACCATTACGTGATGAAATTGCTGCCACACCTCGTATCTTTACTCCGTGTAAATTAACATTCGCCGGCAAAACCTTAATTCGGGAATAAAAAGACAATATGCATCGCCTGGGAGTGGTGTGTCTTTGTATTCTGTCTCTAAAAGGTATGTGTTTGCTTCAGACATTGTTGTTAGAACTGCTGTATCAGTTCAACATAAAAACAGTGGGGCTAATTATGTCACCTATATGTATGATTTGTATTTAGTCCAAAACCACTGAATATTCAAAACCCACGGGGTTTATACTGTGCTGTTTATACTGTTATATTGTTGAAGATGGAGACAGGACTCACTGAAGTTTAAACTGTTCCGTTATTGAATATGGGTTTCTCTACGAGGTCTGTATTTTAAGGGGGGTATATTGATGCGACGGACAGTAACAGAAATAACAAAACACTTAAAGTTTCGGTGAACATGATAATGCTCACATTGGGCATTGAACAAGAATATTAAATGCATTCAAAATTTAACACAAAAGAGTAGGCCTATAATTGAAACATTGTAATACATCAATTTAACCGGTATCGAGTATTTCGTTTACAAATTCTGACCTTTCCAGTTGCATCCTTAAGGATAACTACGAACACTGATATACCTAGTGCAACTGCTTTAGCGGACTTAATCGGCGTGCCCTGGGCGACATTTGAGGTTAAAGCATGCCCCCCAGTCGCTATACGTGTATGTAAGGTCGTCCTCAGGAGCACGACGCACATTTGCGCAGACGGATACATGTGGATGATTGGAACAGGGGGAAACAGCAAGACAACTCTTTCTAGCCCTTTCGGCGTTAACCAGAGCGCTGACACTCCGAACATCCTTGACTGCAATCTCTCCAAATCCTTTTGGGTCAAATGGGAGGGAAGAGACATCCAGTTTGGGAAAGGTCGCGTCATTGGACAGGAGTTAATGCTGAGTTACCACCATTACTGGAAAACATCTGTCCATATACTTGAAGTACGACAGTTTAGGGTTGGGATGGTGGAATGGGATATTACTGCCCCAAGAAGTGAGTAAATTGTGCGATTTTTATCAAAAGCATTCAAATGTGAATATCCATTAGATTACAGGTTATTTGTGACCTACTAAAATTCTTCTTTTTTAAAAAAGAATGGAAGTATTTTTGGCTGTAAGAGTTTAGAGTTGCTCGTGTAAATAATCCTGTCCTGTAGGAACGTATAGCAAATTATACCGGTATGATTTAATTTAAAGCGTTTTTCAAATGTAAGAGCTTGACTCTCATTCTCATGAATGATCTGAAGACACACAGATATTACAACACCTGTAAAAACACAGGCTTTCATCATAGCTGTGAGTCTTTACTATTGGTCCTGCAAAAGCAAATTTTCTCTAAAACAAATTTTCTCTAAGTTAAAAATAGCATAAAGACATTCGGCAGAGGCGGATCTAGAGATATTTTCTGACAGTCTCCCAAATTATCTTAGTTGATCCATCCTCCATTTTGACTGTCTTCTGACGGAAAACATACGATACAAGATTCCGGAAGACCCAGAAGACGGCCTAAATCCGCCCCCTAATTTACTAATTTAGTAATTTGCGTTTAACTTTCCAACGTTTTAGTATCCAAGCGACAATCAGTTCGATTCCGCAAGCTCCATCTTTGTGGATGTTCAGTTGTGTTGTCTATGCTAACTACCCACGGAAGGTTACAGTGTGCCTTTGAATGCTTGAAGAATGTTCGCTGTGACTCATTCTTCATTGAACGGCAGCCAATAGAAGACACTGATCTTTACCGCTGTCAGCTGAGGTCAATACGTATTGGATACAGTGGCCAACCTTTGGAGAACAATTCTGATGTGGACAGCTGGGTGAAAGTGTATAATTAGCACTATTTTCAATAGTTTAATGAATCTGTCAACTACAATCATAAACTTCAATTTGAACGCAGTTGTTGAAATGTATTTTAGAAGATATCTCAATGGCCTTTATGTTTTTTCTAGAATTGCAATTTTAGTACTATGAATAGACCGTTCAATTAACCGTCGCAGGTGTAAATAGATATTATATTCATCAAAACTCTAAGAACTGCCTAAATATTCAAACAATTTAAAGCCTGTTCGAGCACGTGATACAATAAAATATTTTGGCTTTCTTTTATTTTCTTTTTTAGAGATTTTATGCCATGGCTCTAGAATGCCAATCTTTATATGACACTTATTGATCTTAAGTTATTCCAAATTTTCATTTTTAATCAAAAATGTTATATGCAAACTTCTGCTGGGATTTTTTTTATAAGGCCTTTAATTGTTTTTTCTTCGTAATAAAACAAACAATAAACAATGAACTTATAATGGGTATCCTTTGTTATTCAATAATTTACAGATTGTAAACTCATTAGATCGAGTTGTTTATGGCAGATGAAAAACAATGTTATTTTGGATACTGCCAACCAATTTGTCACCAATAAAATTTAATTACCATTTATTAGGGATGTACATTATTTACTCGAAACAAGTTTACACGTGGTAAGTTAATGTATATCGTTGATAACAACACGGCGGGTTGGCCTTCACATCGATAAATCATTGTAAAAGGTGTTTACTTAGATTAAAAAAAATACAGTAAACAATTGTTCTGTCATCACTAGCATCTCCAATTCTACACAAATGTACCTAGCCATGTGGAGGGGGCGGGACATCGAAATATCGTGCCGCTTCAAACATCTCCATTAAGGACCTGCTAAAAATGAAGGAAGAAGGGGGAAGGGGGCTCTTTTTCAGAAAATGTAGACCTTTTTTCATGAAACTTTAGTTTACCTAGATCAAATTTACTCTGAATGGACCTTTACCCAGCAACCCCCCACCCCCACCGACTACGGGCCTGTACCGTTTTTTATTTTATTTTGTTTTATTTTATTTTATTTGCATTCTTGAATGGCCAGATTTTGTCACAAAACCATTTTTTATTCTGCGGGTGCTGTAACAACATCTAAGATTGGTACGCGTACAGAAATCCTAATTGTTTCCAGTAATCAGCATATATAAATCATTAACATTTGCCAACGGAGGAGAGACAGATTGTATATGTCGTGATTTATTTTCTTTATTTAATGTAGGTCCACATGCCCATATTTTGCGTGGTGGTGATGGGCTGCAATTTTAAATGCATTTTCTTTTTTTTCCTTTTTTTTTTTTTTGGGGGGGGGGGCTTTTCCTTTTCCCTGATCTATCAGAAGACTCACTTTTCCTTCTAAAAGCGTCTAAATGAGTACAACAAGCGGCACAAACGCACTTTCCTTGCATTTTTCTGTAGGTCTTCAACGACTGCAGCCCACATTTTTCTCATTTAACATTCCAGGTAATTGATTGACACAGTATGGCTAACACAATTTTGCATTGGTTTTAAGTTGTAACCATTAATTTGATGTTGTACTTATCGATAATGCAATACTAAGTGATTTGCTAATGCTCCTGTGCAATCATTCAGTTGATTCATAATGTATTTGGCCAGTATTTGCTATGCCACCTGCCAAATCATTAAATGTAGCCTATAAGAAAATAGTTACTGTCAACAGTTGCCAAAGATTTTCTGACCTTAAATTCAATTTAAATTCAAATTTGTATAGGATGATAAAACAGAATCATTCTTTACTTATAATTAGAGACTAAATGACTTCAGTTAAACACGACGTTTTGGTCCACCAACAATGGGCCTTGGCAACGTGAATGGTGATTTGGCGCTACAATCTGACTCTTGAATCCAACTTCCAAGGTATGGTAGCGCCCTCTTTACTAGCTAGGTGTCTGTAGCTACAATATTCGCAATCCTCAGCATCCAGTGATCGTATCCGCCATATCAAGATCAACGGGTAGGGTTGTATTTTCTGTCCAAAGTGTAGCCACAAACACAATAAATAGGCAGGCAAAATTGTGCTTTCTACTCAACTAGTGCAACTAACACAATCAGCGCATAAACCGACTGGAGTAGGAGAAGGAGTAGGGATAGAGGTAAAGATTTAAGGAAATGTTAGGGGCGGGGAGTTATTTTTAAGGTTAGGGTTAACCCTATATAGGGCCAGTGTTGAAGTTAGGTTCATGGATTAGGTTTAGGACTAGGGTTAAAGATATTTTCAGGATTAGGGTTTGTGTAGTAAGCGGCAGTGAAAGTCCCGCTTACTCTTTCTGAAATAGTCTTTCCTGAGGTCCCTTTTGCCACACATGGTATAAAACGATGATCGGTGAAAAAATAGGCATCCCAGTTAAAGATGTAGGCCTTGCTTCTCTGCGGGCATTGGAATTTGGCCCCACAGTAGACCTTTTCAAATAGCGGTTCATCTCTATACCCTCTACCAGGGTCACTGATTGATTTTTCATTATATATTCACATGTTTATGGTTACTTTATGACACATTTCTTGCGTTGGAAAAAAAGTGAACACAATTAATGTGCGGTGAATTAGGGTACGTAG